AGAAAAAAAAAAGGGAGAAATATGGGACAAACAGGGGCCCCCCCCCCCCCCCCCATATTTTACATTTTAGGGTATAACTGCATTTATGGAGTTGTTATCCTGCATCATATTTGTCAACTGTGTGAAATGTAAGATGATGTACAGGTCTGGGGCCGGGGCCAGTGCGTTAACTGCGTTAAAATATTTGAATTGCGTTATTTTTGAAGTTACTAATTAATTAAGTTAACACGTTAAACTGGCAGCCCTAGTTTATAACAATTCTTTTTGATCATTGTTGCATACAGTACTATTTAAAAGTTTGTGGTCGGTAAGATTTTTAAATGATTTTCAAAAAAGTTTCTTATGCTCACCCAGCCTGCATTTATTTGATCAAAAATACAGTAAAACAGTAATATTGTGAAAAATTGTTGCAATTTAAAGCAACTGTTTTCTATTGTATAATATATAGTAAAATTTAATTTATTCCTTTGATCAAAGCTGCATTTCCAGCATCATTACTCCAGTCTTCAGTGTCACATGATCCTTCAGAAATCACTCTAATATGCTTATTACCTGCTCAAGAAACATTTCTTACTATTGTCAATGTTGAAAACAGTTAACTTAATTCTTAATGTTTTGTGGAAACCTTTTTTTTTTTAGCATTTTCTAATGAATAGAATGTTCAAAAGAACAGAATTTGTATAAATTATATGTGTGCTTGCTAATAAAAGTATTAATTTCTTTGAAAATATAGCAAATACCCTTCAAGGATCAGATAAAGTCAGAATGCATTGCGATCAGCTCAGTGTTAATTTTCATCCAAAGTAGCATACGAAAGATAGCTAAATTAAAATGATTTTCTGTCTGTCCGTTTTCCTGTCTACACCCAACTATGCTATAGAAATAAAGGCAAGAAACAGCAAAAATATGCATGTTAGTGCATTGTTGCTTTGTTAGCTTGAAATAAAGTTTCCCTGTGAGTCAAAGGAAAAGCGTTCATTGTAAATAAATTGACAGAGTTTCTCCCTATAATGGAACGTCCCAAATCAGAGTCCTTTCGTTTCCATTTCTGGGTTTCCATTTTTAGCTAATATGCTCCCTTAGAAGGCAACTGTGTAGACAGTAAAGTAGCTCACTAGGTTTTGGTATTACTACTTAGGGTATATTACTTAGTAACGCGTTACTGTAATTTGATTACGTTTTTAGTAACGGAGTAATCTAACGTGTTATAATTTCCAAAATATTTATTAGAGTATAGTTACAAGCCGACATCTCTATACGTTACTGCTGCGTTACATTGCTGACAGAATGCAGTGTTTTATAATCTAGAGATTGTAAAAAAGATGTAGCACACGCACTGTCCAGTCCAGTGCCAGTGGATTAGAGACCTGCACCCGCGAGACCCGACGAAACAGAGCGTAGCGCGGGACAAGATGGGCGAGTGCTGGTGCGGGCGGGTAGACACTCGTGTGTGTGCGGGATGCGGGAGAATAAAATGATTCACGGGACTCCCGCAAAATAGAAATATCTAAACATAAAATATCTAAAACAAATAAATTGTTATTCATCTATTGCACAAAAGCAACATGAACTAATATAAAATATAAACGATTAACAGGCGCAAGCGTATGCAGAGTTTCTATTTAGGCTATAACACGTGTTTGCAGCGTTGAGCAATGCAGTGCTGGAATTTGCGTGCTCACGAATCCTCTCATTGTAACACACGAATTGTAGACATTATGAAAGATTCATTATGCATACTGCTGGCATTCTGCCATGCCAAACCATGCACACAGCAGCCGCTTGCTTTAGTTAAAAATAGCAGTGTTCTGTGAATGATGATGCTTTAATAACAAATATTTATCGGGAGCGTGTATGCTGGGATTTCATAAATTTCACGGAGAAAAAAAGTAACGTAACTAGTAATGTAACTAATTAGTAATTACTTTTGAAATAACGTAATCAGAACAGTAACGTTATTACCTTCAAAAGGAGTAATCAGTAATTTGATTACATTTTCAGAGTAACTTGCCCAACA